CAGTGAGCGGCCGTCCAGAAGCCAGCGACTGATCTGCCTCGCCCAGGAAGAGCACAATGATGGTGTCAACTTGGGCCAGTGAAGCAACATCTTCCACAACTAGACTTAAGAACAAAAACAACAGCAACTTGTCTGTTCCCATCCTCCCAATTCCCCAATAAAAATCTTTAAAAAAAACACAAACCATATCATACTGATGAGATAATTTAGGAAATGTAATTGTTTTTCAGTTAGAGGATATTTTGTTGCCCTTAGCACTTCAATTCATATAGGATAATCCTGTATGAGTCCTTCTGAATTCATATAGGATAATCACAAGTAAACCCAGATGGAACCACCTTCATCTCAGCAGTTGCCATAAGCAAAGACTACACAATGCTGGGCATGTAATGCATTTCGGGAGAGCTGCATAGGATGAGAAGAGCGCCCTTTGTCTCCAAGGTCATAAAAGCTCTGCTGACTTCAATTCCTTTCACTGGAGCTAGTGAGGACAAGTTGAAAATGCCAGCGAGAATGAGAGCCCCCCGATCCATGGTCCCAAATGAAAAAAAAACAGAGAACATAGAAATCCCCTCATGCACTATTCCCAGGCCCCTTTTATGTTGTTTTTGCCAATACAGCAGCTGTCCTGCTATGTATACCAGCTGCCACTCTTTTCCCCATCACACTGGATGCTGACCATCCGCTATCAACAACCATGGGAAAGGTGAGCCAACAACCCTGGTGGCATACCATGTCTATTGAGTGTCTGCTATGTCTGGGGATGTACCTCCCAGTAGACTGCGTTCTGTCACCTTGTGTTCTACTACAGATCACCTTCTACCAGGACCGCGGCTTCCAGGGCCGTTGCTACGAGTGCAGCTGCGACCACTCCAACATCCAGCCCTACGTCAGCCGCTGCAACTCCATCCGAGTGGACAGCGGCTGCTGGATGCTGTATGAGCGTCCCCATTTCCAGGACCACCAGTACCTCCTGCGGCGCGGCGACTAGCCCGGCTACCAGCAGTGGATGGGCCTCAGCGACTCTGTCCGCTCCTGCCGCCTAATTCCGTATGAGAGCCTTGCTTCAACCAACTGCTGCGAAAGCATCATTGATCCGTGACCACAACTTCCTGTTTATATAAAAGTCAGTTTGTTCCAACTCAGGAGTAGTGTTCACAGTAAGGATAACAATGCCGGACTTTCAAGAATTTAAAAAAAAAAATGTGAGCAGGATCATGAAAAACTGTAACCTCTATTTTTTTCTTACTTAAGGACAACAAATTGTTTTTAGGGTACAAGAAATCACAACATAGCCTCTAAAATTAAATTAGCACCTGGCTGATCCCTAATTTTTAAATAAAAATCACCTTCTTAAGTAAACTAAAAAATCTATCTAGGTCACTCTGTTTTAGTAATAAAAAAACACCAACAGACTATGGGAGAACAATATGGGTCTAACTATTCTAACTGCATTGGTGATTGTTTTCAATGCATTATCTGTAGTGTTCATTAGTGTGTCATCATGCTGATTTAGAAACTAACAATTTGTTTCAGCTTGTGGCTTTTTATTTTCCAGGAGTCATTGTCAACTAGTTTCATACAAGTATCACAGACAACTCATTAATTAGGATTTCATGGGACATGGTCCTCACCAATATGTTGCTTAATGTTTTTTAACCATGTGGAGTTTCTCTTTCTGCATTCTGGTGACACCAAATTATGTGATGTGACAAGCAGATTTAAGAATTGAAACCAGGGCCGGCTGAGTGGCTCAGTTGGTTAGAGTGCGAGCTCTGAGCAACAGGGTTGCCAGTTCGATTCTCATGGACCAGTGAGCTGCGCCTGAGCTAACCTGCTGCTGAACTGCCAACAGGCTGCCAGATGGCTGAGCTGGTGACAGTGCATGCTCTTAACAAGAAGGTTGCCGGTTTGACTCCCACATGGAATGATGGGCTAGGCACCCCACTGTTGGGAGCCAGCTGCACCTCAGTGTCTGACATGGCCTATCACACTGCTATTGTGACAAATCCTGAAGCTCTGGCTGAGAAACAGATACTGCTTTATATCTTAAAAAATTTTTAATTCCCCTTTGGATGTCCCCCAGTAGGATAAAGATCTGACACCCCTTCTTATATTGATTGTTTTATTTACTTTAACCAAATAAGTGAGGATTGGACAAATTACGATAATTCTGTTTTACTGTTAGTTTCTTAGTGATAGATTCTTAGTGATAGACAAGTTATGCACCTTATAATTCTTAAGATCCTGTTTAGCCAGTAGTGTTTGAAACAGTTGTTCAGTAGTAAACATCCTTTAAGTGCCAGGGCAGGAGCTCAGCTCTGGCCATTGTCGGAAGAAATTGAAACATAGTTAGGATAAGTTAGTCATTAGTGAAGAATAGATCCGGCTGTACCCTGTAATAGAAACTCGTGAGGAAGTAAAATTCTGAGAAAAACAAACTTCTAAGGAAAATAGACCCTGGGAAGGAAGGAAC